CATCTATCATTGCTGAAGTTAAGCATGACATTAATGAGCTACAGGTTGTGACGTCTGAACAGAGTGCTGCAACATCAACCTTGCTTGCTCGCATAGACGACTTAGAGAACCGTTCGCGTCGTTCAAACTTGTTGTTTTACGGTATCCCTGATGCTCCTAGCGAGTCTCAACAAATTTCTGAACAGAAAGCACTCGACCTTGCGAAGGGCAACTTGGGCGTCGCAGTTGATAGCTCGCATGTTGAGCGTGCGCACCGCCTTGGTGCTTTCCGTCAAGGGAAAACAAGGCCCATCATTGTGAAATTCTTGTCTTTCAAAATGAAAAACCAGCTACTTTTTTCCGCCTCGAAACTAAAAGGTACACCCTTTTCATTATCTGAGGATTATTCACCAACTGTTCGCACCGCAAGGAAGGCGTTGCTCGTATATGCCAAACAACAAACTTCCCCATTCAAACTACGCTTCGATAAACTTTTGATCGGTCCAAAGACATATACCTACCACCACCATTCTAAGTTAGTAACTGAACTTCAGCGATAGCGCAAGGCGGGGAGTGTTCGAAACAGCAGATTAGGCTCGTATGAGGGCATCAGTTTTTTATATGCCAATGCTCGAAGCGTTCTATCTAAATGTGATGAGCTAAGTACCATTATCTCGTCTTGCAGCGCCAAAATAATCTTGCTGACCGAGACGTGGTTAACTCCTCAAGTCACTGATAGTGAAGTACTGCCTGATCACCCTAATTTCATTATCTATCGTCTCGATCGACAGCAACGACGCGGTGGTGGTGTTCTTATAGCCGTAGATAAAAAGATACCTAGCAGAGTTGTTTCTAATCATTCACAGCTTGAAATAGTTTGGGTCTGCTTACAATGCAGTTTTAGGTCTGTCTTGGTTGGTGTTTGTTACCGTCCTCCTGACGCGTCACACTCGTTCTCAAGCCTTCTTCACGATGAATTGTCATTACTTTCAAAAGAATATCCAACCTATCCCATACTTTTATTTGGCGATTTTAACTTTCCGTGCATTAATTGGAACGACCCAACTCCTGTCTGCTCTAAAAACTCCAGTGTTTGTCAACAATTTATTGACGTCGTTTTAGATTTCAATCTTTCTCAGATAGTTTCCCTTCCTACGCGAGTCTCTCATTCCTGTTCAAACATTTTAGATCTTGTTCTTACTTCTCACCCTGAATTATTTCCAACGCCTTTGGTATTCTTGGACGGCATCAGTGACCACAAATCAATTCATTCTTACATAAAAGTTGAAACTGCAAAAATTGTTCGTTTAGGAAAGAAAATATTGCTATACGACAAAGGGAATTACGAAGAAATAAACCGAGCGTTGTGTGACTATTTCTCTTTTTTCTTAAATAATTTTGATTCTCGAGATGTTAACAAGAATTGGAACTTATTTAAAAACAAGTTAGATGAACTTGTTAACATTCATATCCCATTCAAATACCTCAGGCCTTCCTCGGCGAAACCATGGTTCAATCGACAGCTTAGGTCTCTCTGTAACAAAAAGAAAAGGCTTTTCCGTGCTGCTAAGCGTGATGATACTCCTGAGTCATGGTCCAAATATAAAAATTGTGAACATAACTACAAAATGAAACTGCAGGAGTGCAAAAGCGTGTACTCTCAGCAGACGCTCCCTTCAATATTACTTAACAACCCTCGTCGTTTCTGGAGTATTGTTAACTCAAAAGACCACACTTTACCAAAGATTTTTAACGGCTCGGGTGAAGTTGTGCCAGATGATCAGTGTGCAGCTATGTTTAATGATGTTTTTTGCAATGTGTTTACACCTATTTCTACCGACTTTTTACCTGGTCACGTTCCTGCTGATTATTTTCCAATGGACCCTGTTTTTGTAGAATTTAATGGTGTATCTCAAATTATTAACTCATTAAAGGTCTCGTCGTCCTCTGGGGTTGACAATATAAACACTAAAATATTACGTAATACTAGCCTGTCTTGTAGTTTATTTCTAACCAAGATATTTCAGCAGTCTTTGGAGTCGGGGGTGGTGCCTGGGGACTGGAAAATCGGCAAGGTCATTCCGGTCCACAAAAGCGGCAGTAAGTCTTCTCCCCTCAACTACAGGCCTATATCTCTTACTTGCATCCCATCTAAGATCATGGAGCATATCATTTTCACGCATCTGTTTGATTTCCTCGAAAACAACTCCTTTTTTAGCAACGCGCAGCACGGTTTTTGCCGCAACTTTTCTTGTGAAACGCAGCTCCTATTTCTTACTAATGACCTTCACCTAAACCTTGACTCCGACTACCCCACTAGTGCTGTATTTCTGGATTTCGCCAAAGCCTTTGACAAAGTGCCACATAACCTCCTTCTGCTGAAACTTTCTATGCTAAAAATTGACCCTAACATACTAAAATGGATCGAATCATTCCTTCTTCAACGTCGTCAGTTTGTTTATGCTAACCACACCAAATCCTCCCTGTGCTCTGTTTCTTCTGGTGTCCCCCAGGGGACAGTACTCGGCCCATTACTCTTCCTAATATATATTAATGATCTTCCTCTCAACATCTCTTCCACTGTGCGGCTTTTTGCCGATGATTGTGTAATCTATCGTAAGATAACCTCTACAGATGATACTGTAACGCTTCAAGGCGACATTTATAAAATTTCTGAATGGTGTAACACATGGCGCATGTCCTTAAATCCTAACAAATGTCAATGCATGTGCTTTTCTCGTTCATTGTCAATCACCTATCCTGTACTTCTTTTGAACTCTGTCCCCATTGATTATACTAACCAATACAAATACTTAGGCTTGAATCTCACACCTAATCTATCATGGCATACTCATATTAAAACAATTATATCCTCAGCAAACCGCTCTCTAGGCTACATTCGCCGAAACTTTAGATCCTCACCTGAAAACCTAAAACGTATTTTGTACACCACTATTGTTAGGCCTAAATTAGAATATGCGTCCTCCATCTGGCATCCTCATCAGAAAAATTTAACAGACTCCATTGAATCCGTTCAGAACCGTGCTGCTCGCTTTATTTTTAATGACTATTCTCGTACCTCAAGTGTGTCATCAATGAAGTCTCGTCTTAACCTTCCTCTACTTTCCTCCCGCCGTCGAATTTCCCGCCTTTCTCTTCTTCATAAAGTCTTCTACACACCTTTCTTGAAAATGTCTCTTCTGAACCCGCCCACCTACATATCATCAAGATTAGACCATTCATGCAAGATCGCCCGTCCCAAGTCATCAAGTGAAGCACACCAGCATTCCCTCATCCCTGAAGCAGTTGTGGACTGGAATGACCTCCCGGACGCCATAGTCACCATACCCGACTCCAAGCAATTCCGACTAGCCCTTCAAAACCACTTGTACTGACCCACTCCCCTCTATAACGCCCCCGAGGCATTGAGGGTATGTATAAATAAATAAATAAATAAATAAATAAATAAATAAATAAATACCATGTCCTATATTCCAAAAACATATGGACTCTTTTTTTTTTTTTTTTCGCGGACTATACACTGTGTGGACCAATGAAAGCCCTACAATACGCGCAGATTCCGAATGGTTTTATTATAAGTCGTTTCGAAGAAAGTCTGGTAGGTACACATTCGGATATAAGACTCCTCTTTTTCTCGAAGCCATCAGATGCAACTCGCCGACAACCGCCCTTCGTCGACCACTTCACTCGGAAGAAAATTCTTCCCAAAATGGGCGTGTCGCGATCTTTGAACATGTTTTAAACGAGGAAATAAGCTACGCACGATTGTGATTTTGGGTTTGTTGGGACGCTTAGAGCGTCTAGATTGAGTTGTCACCACAAGAGGAAGATCTCAGAATCGACTTTAGTGCCCTTTAACCCATCACAGACTATAGAAAAAAAGTGCACGCACTATTTCACTCCAGTTACATACGTATTCTAATTTCTACCGAATGATAGGCAAGCTGAATGTTAAAAGAGACATGTAAACACATAAGTCCGCCGCGATGTCGTTAATATAGGGCTGTTATCGGAATCAAACCTTGAAACAAATCGAATATTCTTCACAGCCGTTTTTTCCGATAATGCCCAGATATTTTGCCCGTGACCATTTCTATGTCTTATACTCAGAAGGCGTGGTGTTCAAGAATAATATAGCGCTCACCGCCAGGTCTACGTTCAATAAAATCAAGCCTTAACAGAAACTGCACAGAAGAAAGAAAGAGGTAAGTCTGCTCCTCTCTGTGTATCCTCTTCATTTCTCAAAATCTAAGACACAAGACGGTAAGAACCAGTTTTTTTTTTCTTCCTTTGTTTATCTCAATCCTATCATTTTTTTTTTCTTCTTCTAATACGCCTTAGACTCGTGATTGATCAGGCCGCTGGCACGTAGCAGCGCCGGGCATTATGGGATTACACTGAGCAAAATTGAAATTCATTTATGAGGATTACCAAAGCGATTAAACTCCCGTCCCCCCTTTTTTTTTTTTTTCGTTCTGAACACGGACGAGACAGACACTACATCTGCTATCTTTCGCTAATTGTCGACGACATAATAGCCCCCCTCTCTCCAAATTATTCTTTTTCCACTCGGTCTTTGTTTCCCCTCACCAACCGTGGGAGGGAGTCGAACGGGTCTTTTGTGCGGGACAGAATAAAGCTCTGTCACGAAATAAAAAAATCGCCCGACCAATGCCGGGGGAATTAAGCCGGTTGCCAGCATGCCAGCTCTGTTTGCTTTTGCCCGAAAACCGGACCTCCTGAAAGCATCTTCCCCGCACGGCGCTGCCCGCAATACTCCTCGGGCCCCGCCGCGATTTTTCAACGGAGCACCTCTTCTGCTCAGCCATCTTCCTCCTCTTTCTCCTTCTCTCCGCTTCCTTTCCTCTCTTCCCCTCTCGGGGACCAATCGGAGGCGCCGCCGGATGTGACGTCGCACGTCGAGGGGGCCGAGAGGGCGGGCTTTCGGTGCCCGTGCTCTCCCGCCAGGACGACGACTCCCCTCCCGGCTTGTCAGATGCAGTCATGGCGTCGGACAGGCGGGAGCGTTGGAAATTTGTCTGCCTGTTAGCAGTGGTGTTGCCGGCTCTCGCGCGCTGCGAAGGAAACCAAGGTAAGGCAAAGCCTTCGGAGCTTCGACGCCGAGTTCTTCAAGTGCGAGGAGTGTGAAAGCAAAAGCCGGTGTCTCTTTTTTCTTTTCTTTTTTCGAGCTGTTTTGGAGAAGCACGGACCTTACACGGCATCGGCGGTTCTTGGGGGGTGCCGGCCCGTCCGATGCCCTTCGGACGGACCAGCCGGTTTTGGGAGCTCGCTCGCTGGGCGCTTCTTTTATTTATTTTTTCTTTATTTTCGTTCCTTTCGACGAGTTTGCGTCGATTCTTGGCCGCTCGTGGGGTTGGGGCCCGTTCGCGTGTTCGAGGACCATCCGTGGAAGCGGGATTGAAATACCTGAACTCGACGGTGTGCTTTGCAGATGCCGACCCAAGTCGCCCGTCTAGTCTCCTACGCGCCTCATGTTCTCCAACGACGAACAAATGTTTCGTACCGTGGTCGTGAAACATCCGTGCCGCCTCCGCTTTCGTTGAATTCTCCTTCGTCGCGTTTCAGTCGTAAAGCGGCAGAGAGAGTGTATCCTGGGCTGCCGCGGGAACCCGGAGTTCTCTGACCGGTAGCTCGTTAACTTTCCTCTTAAGTTGGACCGCGAGAAAATAAACCCGGCTGTTTATTTTGTAAACGCGGCGGCACGTATCTGTTTACTCGGTAATTCGAGCGGGTGCGAGACAGATCGTTCAACAAACACGGGAAGATGGCTAGCAGACGATCGTTCTCGTAGACACTGACCTGTTCAATGTCGAGGGGCTTTTTGCTTAGAACTGCGATGGCGTATTTTCGCCCTTTTCGGAACGATACTTGGGAGATTTAAATTTATGGCCAAGTCCCTGTAGGAGGGGCTTCCATGTTTGTTTTTGCACGCTCTAAACGGGCCCTGCTTCTCCAAACACTCGGTGGTGTGATCGTGCTTCTGCGGACCTTCGGCGTCGGCGACATGGTGTGTGTCTTCGCCCTGTTCGTCGGTGTGTGTGTGATTGTCGACGTGCGGCTGTCGGTCTACGGATCGCAGTCGCGCCGTGCTTGTTGTCGTCAACGGCGGCTCAGCCACTGGTGCCATTTGCGGATTTTAACGCGCGCAAGGACCGTGGTTGTGGGCGTTCTCGGGGGTCGGTCTTGGGGTTCCCGCTCGCGTAAGGTGAGTGCCTTTTTTTTTAATCTCTTTTGGCGTGTTTGTTTCCTTTTTAATGTGTCAAGAGGACGTCGTGACGCTTGACTTTGTAACTTACTACATTGGAGCTGAGGATGGCATCGTCGCCTCGATGCATTGAACTGCCTCATGTATAAGGACTACTCCATTGTCGAGCGACTTTTGATCCCTCTTGTAGGCTTGTGACCTATTCTTTGGGGCTTATCTCCGTCGTGGTGCACGTGACAGATGCTCCGGTTAGCCCTTCAATATACGGAGATATCTTGTAAATATGGATACACCGCTACGTAGGCAAAGGTTTCGGGGACAGACCGGATAAATACATGAGGCTTTGTGCCGTTGTTATGGACAACTTACACAATAGAGAGTCTTGGCAAAGGGGGGAGGGGTGTGGGGGTATTAATGAGGCAATTCCTGTATTGCATTCCTGGTTTTGTTTTAGTGGTGATGGTATAGGATTCCAAACGACAATACACCGGAAGAAAAACTTTCGTGCCTACCTTCTACGCAGAAGGGTCGCAAAGTTGAATTGTGCCATCTTTTCCCCTGGCACAGTAAGAGTTTGAAATCAGCGTTTCGGTAGCTAGTCAAATAGATCGCGCGAGACAACATTGAGCCCGAAGCAGCGTACAAAGTCCGGTCTTCCGTTGAATAACTCTCGTATTTTATTTCCGCATCATTTCTTTATGTGGTCGCGAATAGCTGGTGGTGCTTAGCTTGACATCTCCGCGATTTCATCATGCCAAACTACAAAGTCGTGCGAATAACTAGACCCGTTATTTGGTGCCCGCGTCGAACAGTAACATACCGTGGCAGCAAAATTATTTCTAAGAGCTTATAAATATCATGGCTGCCACGCTTTGAAGGGCGGTCGGCGCAGCGTTCAGAGAAGTCGCGAACATCACTCCCCGCTCCTGCGACGTGTAGACAACGTTCGCGTCTTGTGATACAGGTTACGAATTTCTCCCGCGTCTGTCGAGTTCCCAAGAAGAATTTTCCGACCGGGAGCCGCGCGGCTACAGCTACTGGTCTTCGGAGCGATCCCAGCTTCGTTCCAATGCTTCCTTTCGGAGCGATCAATACAGCGCAGGAGCACAAACATTTCTGAGAGCTTCACCAAACCCAGATATGTGTACCGTACTGTTCGGGCCCGCACCCGCTGTGTGGACCGTAAAAGCAAATATCAAATAATAAAAAAGTGCTTCATTAGATATTTTGCGCGTAAAAACGTGCGATGCACGCCGCAACCTCGAGAAATGTCCGCTTTATTAGCTCGCGAAGATGCTTGTATCCAAGAGTAATCATAATTTACATCATACGCGGTCATTCGCAAAAACTTCCACGCGTCGTCGTAATAAACGGTCTAGAGAAAATGAATCCGTATTGTCCGCGCTGCGTAAAGTGTTAGCCTTTAAACATGCACAGTCCGGACGACGGTCGCTGTTTTGACCTAACACTGTATCTAACTGCCTGTTGGAGGGGAATGTTTTAGTACTTTATGAGGCAGTCTTTCTATGTAATTTCTGAAGACATATTGTGCCATGTGGTTTGATTTAGACAGGTCGTCCGTAATTCATAATTTATCGATGAGAGTAAAGGCAACGTAGGAAGATTCGTGTTTTAACGTGGGTAAACTGTAGTTAATACGGTACATTATTTTGATGGAGGGTACTGATATACATACGAAAAACGCACATTTTGATCGTCACATAATACTTCCTGCTGCATACCATACATACCTTTACGCTAGTATTTTATCGAATGATTTTAATTCTATGAACCTCCGAGATTTTTGTTTAGTTTATTTTTCGGGCTCGATAAGTGTTTCATTTGTTTTCCAAAGTTTGGGTTGCGAATAACCTACTCCAACGCGTTCTATTTCGCACTGTTTTCTATCCAACTGCCTAATATCTTACTGCAGTTCATCAGCTCAATCTGTTTGTTGTGTGTCGAAATCAGCGGTTCTTGTGCATGTCTAATGACTATATTGAGTCGTAAAGCTCACTTCAGTATGGAAGTCCACGGTTTGTGCCGTGCAACACTTTGTGGCGGTCCATCGGCCTACCAAGCCGCAGATAAAAGATGACGACGTTACTCGCCGATACGAGCCCGGCGGCAAGAAAGAATACACAGAACGTTTTCACCTAAGCTCGGAGTCGGTCGCACCATCTCTTCCGTCCTCAACATCGAACGCGCTACACACTTCACGAAGTGCGAAAATAGCGCTATCAGTCTCATGCTGACTGCAACAGAGCACTTTGTTCGAAAAGAGAATGCGAATAGTGGCACGACCGTAGCTATAGCGATCCTCACTATGATACTCCGAAAACAAGCGAGCCGCTCATTGTTCGTCTTGAAAGAATCCGAGAGAGAAGTTTAGTCTCAGCAGGGGACGAAATCCCGACAAACGTTTAGAGACGTCGCGCCATCTTCCATGTCCACGCACTGCTGTCCCATCCAATATTCTGAAATTCGTTTTTAACCTGCATCAGAAGCAAGCACAGCAAAACCAGTCATTTAAGCTAAAGGTGCAGGCGAGACATTACTCTTTTTAACAAATTTCATCCCAATCTCGGAGTCTACCGTAATGTTCAGCAGGAAGTAATTTTTTTGTATTGATGTTCAGACGGGAAGAAGTTAGTCTGTCCCAAATACAGGGGAGCCTGATTTCAGTTGAGGAATTTAGCCAGCGCAGTCTGACCGCTAGCCTGGGTTCTTAACGTGCCTGGCGGGTTTGCAACGACTTGGCGTTCACATCGCGGGATGATACTCCGAACACAACCCCCATAGACCTTTCGCCAAATCACCCGTGCGCCAAGGAGCATGCTGACAGTGGGCGCGTTAAGTCAGTGCTCCGGAGCGCGAGAGTTTGGCGCTCCCTTCACTAAACGGACAGGAGTGCCACCGGAGACTGACACTCGAGCGCGCTCTTCGTGCACGGAGAATTTCTCGGAGCGCGAGCAACCCCCGGACATTTTCCATAGGGCCAATGGAGTCGAGTTTTGTACAGTAGCGCCGAATTCCTCGTCCGTGGTGGGGGGCTCTCATTACTTGAACGAGTTAACTTATTATTTTATATTCGGTAAATTGTAAAATTATATTAAGAGCTAACCATGCTATTAATAAAATATCTGGCTTACTTTTCAAAACGACTTCTATATACACGTTTGGGACGTAGTAGCCTACTTTGAAGCCGTTTCTAAGCCAAGCCGTAAAGAATCCAACATGGCGCCTTTTTATTTTTGTAGGGTGGTTCTCGTATGGATCGCTTCGGGGTCGTGCTGGAGCCTGGATTCAGGCTCCTGAGCATCACGCCCGGTCCCGGTAGTGTAATAATAGGGAATTTTAGCAAACCGTGTTCCGCGTACCGCACTATCGGAGCCTTTGAAGCATGCTTTTAAGTGCGCGCCCCGCTGTCACGGTATCACCCCGGGTGCGGTTTCAAAGGCTCCGATAGTGCAGTACGCGGAACACGGTAACAGTTCGCTAAAAGTTCCTAACGTAATATACGATGTGCGATTTCGCTTTCAGCTGTATAAGGTGCGTAGTCATGTGTGTTCGTTGTTCCTCTATTTCGAGGCGTCTTGCCGTCCAGTAAGGAATCCAGAGCTGCGACCGAAATACTTCGAGGCACATTTATTGCACAGATGCTAAAACGGAATTAAGTACAGCACTGCACCTGCATACGCGCGAAAATAAAACATTGACAAAATCATTTCGTCAACCTCGCCCACAAGCTCCAGTTTCGCATCGCCAGCACCTCTCTGTCATCTGTGCGCGATCTCATCACTTCATTATTACATGCGGCGCCGCACACCTTCTTGGGAATAGGCTTTATCACTAATTTTATCACT